CAAAACGTTGTGGTACGTATTAGGAGTAAAAATTCCACCAGCGAAGCAGCCTTACTCATTAACAGTCATTTTGACACGAAACCAGCCAGTCCCGGTAAGTAACTATGAGTCTGTTTGCGCACGCGATATATTTATATATGTATACATACATAGATACATATGTGAATTATTTTTTATTTGATAAATTAAGGCGCTGGCGATGATGGCACTATGGTTGTTATATTGCTCGAGACTCTGCGCGTGCTCGCTACAACTCGGCAAACTTTCAAACATCCCATTGTGTTTCTATTCAATGGCGCCGAAGAGAATCCTTTGCAGGCCTCACACGGTTTTGTTACCCAACACGAATGGGCTAAGAATTGCAAGTAAGTGTGGAGATTTGTGGAATGTATGAGAATTTTATTTCACTATACAAACATGTTCTATTAGAGCGGTCATTAACTTGGATTCAGCAGGTAGCGGTGGTCGTGAAATTCTCTTCCAAGCCGGACCCAATCACCCATGGTTAATGAAAGTAAGTAGCAGTTTGTAGTTGTGGGGAATTAATTTTTTGTTATCGGCGAGACTGAAAGAGGCAACGGCCTTGTCGAAGCAACGGGACATTTGTTATTCTCGCTGTTAGAAAAAAAGGAACAGTCCAGCGCCTTCGTCTTGGTCTGCAGGCTGTATCGGAGACACAGCCGCTAAATTTAAACGTGGAATGCGTGGTATGGCTTAGAGGACATCCAAGTCAAAAACGAAAGCACACACTTAGAAAAAAATATCGATAACAAAAGCAATAATGATATCGATAGCGAAATCGATAACAAGATCGATAAAAACATCGATAACAGAATCGATAAAAATATCAATCAACAAAATCGATAGAAAAACCGATAAAAAATTCGATAAAAATATCGATAACAAAATCGATTACAAAATCTATACAAAAATCTATTACAAAATCGACTAAAATATCGATAGAAAATAACGTTTATTATATCGATATGTTCCGAAAATATGGATAGCAATATCAATAACAATATCGATAAATATTTCGATAACAAAATCGATAAAAAAATATCGATAACAAAACCTATAAAATATTGATAACAAAACCGATAAAATATCGATAAGTCCCGAGAATTCCGAAAATCTCTAAAATCCTGAAATATATATATTTGAATCAAATAAACATACTTATATGATATCAGCCAATACTATACCAAATGAAAGGAAAAATCTTGAATTGATTAAAGAAAACAAAAACAAAATCATTCGAGCGGTTTTCGAGCATTTTGGAAATAAATAAAAAAATTGCGAATTTCTTCAATAATTTTTTGCATTAAAATGCGTAATATTTCTTGAACTTATCTAAAATTTGTACACGATAATATTTCTATTGCTCCAAAGAACTTATATCCCGAAAATGAAAATTTTACCTGCAAATCGTAAGTTGCTAGAGCACTTTAAAGGCTCAAAATTTACCTCAAATTAAGCCAATATTTACCGTTGTTTCTACAACACAAACCGAATTGGTTACTAACAAAAATGAATCTGTCATTTGGTTTGGAAATTGGTCTTTGAAACGCCACACCCTTCCTTCAAATCGCTTCATTAGTTATCGTACAATAAGCGTTTTCGTAAGGCTCTAAAAATTACAACTACAACATTTGAGCATAGCCTCCATATCGAAACGTAAGACGTATTCTATGTAAAAAAAAAAAATAATAATATTTTCTGGGCCTAGGGGCCACCACCAATCAATATCCGCTTTATTGCATCAGTATTGAATGAAGCCGGTTAAAATAAATGCATGAGGAGAGCCAATGTTTCGCGCTTCCGAAATTTGCTTTTAGTTAATATTTAAATACAAATTACCCCTTCGATTACATGGGCATGCCTTATCAATTTCCCCACCGTTTATATACTTGAAAGTTTACGTTTTATCTTCCTTCCACGATAACTAGTGATTAATTGAGTAGTCAATAAAAAACACATGAAAAAATGATTTTAACAGCCAGCACACTTACGGTAGAGATTTATCAATCCAGTGTATTGGAATTGTGTAAAACAATTTGGAGAAGTTTTTTTTACTATTTCTGATTAAAAGTCGGCAAAACTTTTGTATAGTTTAGATAAGGTTAAATTACTATGTTCAATACTTTGCGAGTGTGAAGTGTGATTGTACACGCGATTTGTTGATACTCGTTCTCAATCAAATGTCAATTTAACGGA